GGTGCCGCATCCATCTCCTGCATGCATAAGACAACCTGCCTTTTTGGCCAGCTGCCGGTCTGCTCAAAGGCAACGGTGGCCGCGATGGTTATTATTCTTTTTTCTCTTATGCTAGCCCAAATAAGCACCTCCCATCTGGATTCCATATAGAAATTGACACCCCGCTGCTGCGTCACTCATCCGAGATCGTTGCATTTGTTGTTGTTGTTTTGTCGTCGTCGCCAAAACAAGGGACTTGCATGATGCGAAAATTTTATAAAAAGAGCGATTGCCACGATATGAGGAGAAAAAGAGAGCGGAAAAGGGGTGGGTCAAACAACATAAGCAGATCTCGCCTCTCAATGCCCTGCTGGTCATAAAGGCGAGAGAATCGAGCACTTACGCTAGCTCTCTGTTTGTTGTTTCTTTATCAGAATTGAAATTACCATTCGCGCACTCATGGCTTCGCGGCTCTTCTATTGGCTGGACCCGCCACAGCAGACTTTCAAAATTCTGGTTTGCATCGGTGTTCTTTCCATTTACCAACAAGCCTGTTGCATCCACTTTTCTTCTCTCCCTTTCGCCTCCTCTTCGTTCTTTAGTTGCTTTTCGATGCATGCCCCCTTCTCTCTTTTTCTGTGCCTTTTGTTTTTTACCACCAGACCTTGCACCAGCTCTGCTTCTCTCCTTCCTTTTTTTGCCCTATAGCTACAATTCTTATATTTCTGCACTCTTGTATATAGCCCTACGAACCCGCACTCTAGACATTACAGACTATCGGATCCTGGAAAGCACTCGGCAGACCAAACGCCATTTTTTAGACTCGACGCACCAGCTATGTATGTATCAGACTACTTGAGCAGACGGTTAGCAGCAATTGTTATGCGGCCACTATCGCCTCTATTTCTCTGATTATGCATACCTCTCTCTCTCTTTCTCTCTCTCTGCACAGAAATAAAACTCGCTTGGTGAGTGACTGCATATGATGGATTAGGCTATTGAATTATCTTTTTTGTTCTGTACATGCCCTTCTCTCCCACCTCATATTTTTGCTTTCGTTTAAACTTTTTTTTGCCTGTATAGCAGCTGACTAATACGTCCTTAAAATCTATCGCCCAACCACTGTTGACTACGTTCTTAGTAATTTAACCTTTTTAGATTATCGCGTTATTATTTATCCTATTTATTTTGCAATCCTGCTCACACTCTCTAATAAGGAATACGCATCGCACTTGTTACTGGTTGGTAAGTTCCACCGGTTTCCACCGCTCACAGCCAATTGCCGCAAGATCCCCCGTAGACCAACAGTAACGAGCAACAGCAACAAAATGATGGTACCGCTTTCCTTATTCAGATAGGCAATCTATTTTTTGGCGGTTTCAAATACTGAAATCTACCATTTCCGCAAAGGCCATCTCGTCACTATCAGCTGCAGACTCCCACTTACTGTCTGTGATTAATACGGGCGTCTACTTAGGCAGCCAAGCCCAGACTTGTCTCCACTTTATCTGTACACACAAAAAGATCCGTCATTGAGACAACACCCAAGGATAAAAAGATGCATGGCCGGAAATCATTCCTTTGATTTTCACAACCTGTCCTTTTTTAGATCTTCGCAACCGCCCAATGCATTCATCTCAGCCTTCCTGACTGGTCCGCTTTTATCACTACAAGTTTATGTTGGTCGCTTGGGCACATTATCAACTTGCTCCAGAAAAAAAACACTGTCCGGACAATATTCCCAATCCGGCACTGCTTCTTGCCTCCATCGTGCTCACCCGCAAGGTGATGCGCATGAAAGGCGCGTGCTAGAGGGTGACATACCCCTTGCCGCTTGGTCATCACCACCGCTAGCTACTATAACCTCTTTCACCCCGGAGTGTCCAAAATGCCCGCACATTCGTTACCATTGTGGATTTGCGAATGAGAGACAATTTTAATCCGCAATCCAGCCACTAGATCGCGCCGTAAGACTGGTCGATTCCTTCTCCACCATCGTGTCTGACATTTGGTCGGTTCCCGTGCCCGCAATTCACACAGCAACTCCTGGCCACTCTACAAAGAGAATTATTGCTGTTTTGGGAGCACTCGCTACAATTGGCCGCAGCATCTGCGCCAGTTCTGCTCGTTTGTTGCTGCCGATGAACTCGTTTGCAACCGAGATATAAATATGCATTGCACACCGCCCTAACCACAATTGTTCTTTGAAACAATTGCGTATTTTGCAATATTTTCTCTTGCTCTACTGACGGCCGCCGGCACTGCGCAATTTTTTTAAACGTACTGTCTATTCCACTCGGTATTGCGGTATGGCAACAATTACTGCAAGGCTTATTTGCTTCACGCCTATGCGCAGCTATTCGTGCATTCTGAAGAAATACCGAGATTGCCTGCAGCTTCTAATGGATCTGTCCATTTATATCTGGTCTGTCGGCTGATTCATTCTATATCCGAAATCCGGATATCCGTTCCAAATATCCATTTTTCAAAACAGCGCTTTATATACCAGCATCGCAAGGTTTATACTAAACGCTACCTTTTATTATATACTGCATATTAGCTATTTGTGATAGGATGGATGCCGAGCAGGGCAACAATACACTACAGCGACCAGACAGCAAATGCAACAGCGACAATAGCAACAATATAGATGCCAGTAGGCCCGGAGACAAAGGCCGTCGGCGGTCAGAATCGGTCAAAAGTCATATGAGCAACGATAGCGACAGCGATAGCGATATAAATCTCGAAAATGCGCATTCAGTGGGCTGCGCAACCAACGCCGATAATAACCCTCATCCCCAGTCTGCCAACAACAATCAGTCGGACATTGCAGGTACGACCATGTGGAAAGAGGACTTGAGCAATTTGCTGACACCTCAAACTGTCATGGAGCAGGCGCAGGTCAGGCGGCGCAAGCGTAACCGCGAGGCAGCAAGGCGTTCACGGCAGCGACAGAAGGAGCGCGAGCGCGAACTGGTTGAAAAGCAGACTCAACTTTCAGAAAGACTGCGCTTCCTTCAACAGGAGCTTGTCGAGTGGCGTATGATCAACTCGACTATCAGCACAGCAGATACAGAATCGACGGCGATACGGTTAATTGACCCGGCAGATGTCTCAAACAGCGAGGACGGCGTGTTGGCTGAAAACATCAACAGCGTGTACGCCCTCACCATGGAGACGCTGCACATAATCGGTGAGCTGCAGCTACAGCTGGATGAGATTACCAAAGAGCTAAACAGCATGATTGATCCAGCGGAAGAATGATAACATTAGGTTGTCAATTAGAAATAACAAATTATCAATGCAGAATGAAAAATATAGATAACAACGTTTTACCAGAGGTTGGGTGCATTATTGTTTAAACAAAGACGTCGGAAAAGTCAATGTTCGCCAGAGTTTCATACAACGCCGTAATTGCCCGCATGATCTGGCGTGTGTTTGGGTAGAAGACAAACCCGGCTGAGGACCTGGTCTCGGCAATATTTCGACGAAAGTCCATTTCAATATTGCCCAAAAACGCGTCGCGCTCTGCAGGCGACAGGTCACTAAAAGCCCGACCTGTGTGCATGTCAGCGCTGGAACACCGAAACGCCTGTCGAGAGCCGCCTGGGTCACTGTCTGAACCGCGTGGTTGTGTGACTGTAGCAGAGTTTGTAGAGGCTGTGGCTAACGAGCATGCCATGGTTAGGATTCAAGATAGAGAAGAAAGTATTTATTTCAAAATTATATAAAGCGAAAAAGAAAAAAGTTTTGCTCGATTGGATTTGGGGATGAGAGGGAGACAAATGCAAAAAAGTCTGATGTTTAAGACGTTTTCCAGACGTTCGAGACTTTCGAAACAAACCGCAGCAAGCAGTACAGAAAACGCAGTAGCTGTGGTCTGGGCAAAGAAAATCATATCACGTGGAATTGTGGATCGACGCCAGAAAATCCAAAAATCTGAATTTATGCTAAGACAACTCAAATCAAGTTGTGCTATAGATTGTATAGACGCCTCTACTTGATAGAAGATTTAGTATCTGTTAAGCTTGGTGTTTCTAATTATCTCATTAAGGATTCTAAAATGTGTAATTGACCTGTTCTACCTGTATACAACATGCGTTGGCTAATGCTGAAATTACAATTATTGTAAAATAGAACAGTTACATGTTCACTATTTCCTTGTCGGTGAAGCATAACTATAGAAAAGCTTTTTTACTTGCAAAAGGTATCAAGTATGCATTAAAAGACCATGTCGGTTATATGACCTCAACATTTGGCCATCGAAACAAGTTCAGACTGGGTATGAAATGTATGCGACGCTAAATTTAATCTTTTAACTAAATATGTTAAATGCAAGCTAGCCCGCAAGTTAGCATTCTTTAATAAATTACATAAAAATAACTAATAACGTTATTAAACCAATTTTTTTTTTATTTTTTTTATTCTTAGCGGAATAACTTACCGCGCTCTTTATTAATATCTCAAGAAAAGACTATGTACGTAGAAAAACATCCATTCTCAAGCGAGATATAATAGGGGGTGCAACAGGGGACATTGCAGGGCGGCCGGATCAGCCTGGGGAGCCCACTGACTTAGGGAGGTAGCCAGCCGACTAAAATGGTTAACCTCGAAGAGATATTTTGGGTCAGACTAAAGGAAAGCCCTAAGGATCGAACATGGGCTAACGCATTAAACAGCAACGATCAATAAGCTGAAAAACACGCGGACAACGGAGACTCCCAATCTCTGGATTTTCATCCAATCTCCGTTGCCCACGTTATTAAACCAATTTTTTTATAAAAAAAATTTTGTTTCCATATACAGTACACTTTTATAATTTGGTAAACTAAGATATTATAAGTTGTTTTTAACTTAATTAACTTTAATCCGCAATGGTCCAGTGGCTAGGATCCGACGCTCTCACCGTCGTGGCCGGGGTTCGATTCCCCGTTGCGGAATGTTTTAGTTTATTTTATCCAGCTTGCGCGCTTCCAGCATGTATTTTTTTTGCAAAACAAAACTGCTATAAGCAAAAGAATTCCGAAGACCCGGATTTGAACCAGGGACCTAGAGATATCAACAAGCAGCGCAGTTGACACTGCGCAAACACTACAGTCTCCCGCTCTACCGCTGAGCTACCTTCGGCTTTGCATTTAATTTTTATATACAATATTTAAACAAAGGATTTACATTTTTAGAAAATCTTTTTTGGCGGATTTTTTTTTTTTTTTTTTTTTTTTTTTTTTTAGAAAAAAAAAACTCTCTCTTCCGCTTCCCTCAGAAAATACGGGAACCAATCAGCTTCGAGGAATTTATTACTCTTACATAACCGCTTATCTAAGGTTTTTCCGAGCTAATTGCCAAGCAATGAGCGAGCAACGTCCAGCTCCAGGGGCGCCTCCGCGCGCACCCTCGCCAGCTCCAGCGGCCACCGGGCCGGTCTGGAGCACCGTCGTGACCCGAGGAGGGCCACCGAACACGGGCCAACGCGGAACGTCGCAGCACGTCGGCGAAGGCCCAGGATCCAAGGCGTCCGGACCGCCTAAAGTCGACAACGGCGTACCGTTCAGCGCCCTGCACCTCGTCAAGAAGACCGCCGAGGAGGTAGCTGCGCTGGACTGGACCGCGGTCCCGCCGGTCCGCATTGTCCCGAATCAGCACGATTACCCGTGCCTAGGCTACACGGTTCCCGCCGGTACGACCTACACGGAGATTCAAGACGCCTTTAATGAGAAAGGCGATGTTATCAAGGGTATGCTTCACCTTACCTTCTACCGCTCGTCCAACCTCGCTGTCGTGCGCTTCGACAACGAGGAGGACAAACTTACCTTCCTGACGGAGCCGGTGGTCGTCCGCGGCCAGCCTGCCCGTCTCTCCCAGTTCTTTGCCTACACCCCGGACCTGGCGTTCGTCATGCTGACCGGGCTGCAGGAGGCGAATCCGCGCGACGCCGCGAGCAAGATCGAGGCCGCTCTGAACCCGTTCGGCCGCCTGGTAGACATTGTCCTGTTCAAGCGAGGCAAGTTCCTTGCCTCGATTGCTCAGGTCGTTGTCTCGCTGGCGGAGGGCACGACCGTCGATGGTCTGCTCGAACTCGACGGCTACAGCGTTAACGCGATCGGCAAGCGGGTCGAGAAAGCCTGCATATACTGCAAGGAGCGCGGGCATATTAAGGCCGAGTGCCTTAATCGCCCGCAGGTAATTCGCGCGGCCAGAAAAAAGGCCGCAGAACAGGATAAAAAAGGTAAGCAGAAAGAAAATGCCGCTCCTGCCGTTGAGGCCGGGCCCAAACGCAGAAAAGCGGCAATTTCTGATGCGGCTTTGAACAAGCCATTTACCTTCAGTGTCCCCACGCCGGACAATCGCTTTGAGGTACTGTCACCTCCCCGCAAGACGTCGGTCAATCTGCCGATCCCGACTCGCGCCCCGATCGACTCGCCTGCTCGCAAGGGCATGCTGACTCGCTCACAGCGCGCGACCGCCC